CACTGTTTCATTCTGCAGGGTTCCACCCTCGGCAGCGGTTGCGGATGGAACCACGATAGACAGAGGATTCTGTAAGGTTCCATCCTCGGCAGTGGTTGCAGATGGAACCATGACAGACAGAGAAGGAGAGTTCAAAGAAGGAGAAGGAGGGGCAGGAATGACCCCAGAAAATGCAATCTCTTGGCATTCGTCAAAGATATGCTCGGCAACAGAAGAATCTGGGTCAGTATAGATTCCTGGAGGATCGATGTTGAGTTCATTGTCAATATCATCCGGAGTGGAACCGGTTTGACCCTCAGTAGGAAGACGGTCATTATAACTTTCTCTGAATCCTTCAGCGTACCTCAGGGCACCGATTCTGGAGAAGCGACCATGCAGAGTTACCACCCCACTGTTAACCTTGCCAATAACGCCAAACAAGGCATTGCGCTCATCTAGAGCCCTTTTCTCAAAGGCCACGCGCTCCGCTTGTTCGTCATGAAACAAGCGCTAAAGGTTGTCCCTTTCAGTCTTGAGCGATTCACGTTCGGTCTGCCAGATATTCTTCTCAAGCTGAAGGGCGTTCTTCTCATCCTGAAGGGAGTCTGCTTCCTTCTTCAGACCATCCCTCTCATGTTCAACCTTGTTCAGTTGCACCATGAGTTCAGCATTTTTGGTGCTAATGATCTGGTTTTCCTTGTGACCTACCTCAGCATCTTTGGCAAACTTTCGTGCCTTAACGTTGGCAGCCTCAACATGTTTTTGCATGGCCATCATGCCAAACAGAGTTTATAAAATAATACATGAACACTAATTGAGCCGAACGTAAGTTCAGAGGAATTGTAAAATGAAGATACTTCTGAGGTGACTAAGACCTAGGTAAAAATTACCTCCATAGCGGCCAAAGGAAAACGACTGAACACTTCTTTCTGAGAAAGAGCTTTGGCAACCTCAACATCTTTAGGGGACCACATGTTCTTGTAGTAGGCCATGGCGATTAAGCCATCTTTGAACATGGTGTCGCTCGGTTTAATAATCGATCCATCCGTTCGGACGAATCGAGAAGTCCATGGAGCCTCACTAGAGGCAGAAGCAGTGGCCGTGCCAGTTCCAGAAGGAGCGACCGGTCTGATCTGGGGGGGAATGGGCACTTTCAGCCCTGAAGTCCGAACCCTCCCCGTTAGGGGATGGTCGTCAGGATTGCCCTCACTGTCAGGTTGGGCCCTTTTCCCTTGCTTTTTGTCTTGAACGAGTGCAACGGGGGCAGAGGGGCCCCGAGTCCGAGGAGCGGTGCTCGGATTAACAGAAGGAACGTTGATGATTGGGTTAGTATTTTATTGCATTTGGAGTTGTACTGGAGGTGGTAGCAGAGGATGATGCTGAGGCTGGAGAGGAAGAAGCTGCAGGAGTTGTCACAGCCCTGGGATGAGCCTTTTTCCTACTGAAGGAAGGGATCTGGAGTTGACTCATTATAGAACCGAGGACTGAAATGTCACTAAGGTTTTCAGAAAAGAGAAGCTCCGAACAAGAGGGGACGTTGCTCAACACGTGTTCCTTCAGATATGTGATCCTATCCCTGCAAATGTTGTAACTGAGTTCATTATCCAAATTAATACCCAGAGAATTGCAAAAAAAAGAACAAAAACGGGGAATGCAAATTTCACAAGGGCAGTCAGCCTTATGAGTCTTGAACTTCTTATAAGAAAAGACTAAACATTCGCCAAAGGCGTTCGGGATGGGATAGTTATTGGCTACTGGAGCAAACCAAGCTTCCCGAACCCCAACGATGCCTCTTTTCCACCCTTTTTCAGATTTAAGTTTGTTCGTACAAATGGACATCTTCTCGAAAGGATAGAAATGGTAGTAAGCCTCGTCCAACCTACTTTTGTTAACTTTGTAACAAATGAGAAGATCGATTAAATCAAGATCCAAACCTCTGTCACAATTCAGAAGCAACAGAACGGATAGAACCCTAAAAAAGTTGGGGTTAACTTGAAGAGGAGAAATCTTCAACCTATTGAATACATAACAAAAGAAATGATGCAAAGGGAATCTAATAATGTTTAAATGATTGAGGCAAAATAAGGTTTCACCAGGAAGAATGCCTTCACCAGTTCTGATATTTACATTTGCGGGGCATTCCCTAACATGAATATTGCTGGGAAGGTGGAGTTTCATGCGAAGAACATCTAGATCGATGGGCATGGTGAAAGATATTATGAGCCTTAGCAAAGAATGCAGAGATTTTAGGAGGAGAGGGGCAACAAGACTAACCTCAGAGAATATTACAAGGAAACTAAGGATGAAGAATTCTTCACAAGATTCGCCAGAGAAGATGAGATCTGACCGGGAAAGATGCCGTTCGCCTTGGGAAAGTGGATTGAATTGATTGACAGCAAGATGTGAGAGATGCGACAAGAAAAACTTTGGTCATGGAAGAAGGGTATTTAAAGGGAAAATGGTCCCATTTGCTGAGACGTCAGGAAGCTGAAGGGATTTGAATTTCAAAAAAGGACATTAATTCCGAGGCCGACCGCTCGTTGCCCCACGCAATCGTCTTGAGCCGTTAAATGATCATAAGCCGTTAGGTCATCATTGAGTCTTTAAATAATCACACCCTAATTAATGAGGGAGTGATTATGGGGGCAATTGAGGACGCCAAAGACGGCTTGGGCCAGATCCAACTCACATAACAAATTATGGGCCTAATAATTGACAAAGGCCTGATCTTGACGTCCACAAAGCAGACAGGATGTGTTGGACTGATTAAAAAAGGCCTTCAAAGAGGATTCAGGCCTATAACCACTGAACTATGAGGATAGCCCAGCAGCGGAAGTTAGTGAAGAAGGCTCTGGAATAATGCAAATGGTCTATAAATAGAAAGGAGAAAAGAGGAATAAGAGGGGAAATTTTTTTGAAGTGTAATGAAATTCTGTCAATTTAGAGAGAGAAAATTCATGCATCTTCAATAATTATTTATATGTTGAGACTGTCCACTAATCCACTCCAGTGACTAAAAGTTGGTTCTCACGATTTCGATTCCGGTTCCTATTTTCGAAACAGTGAGTATACGGTTCTAGTTCTGATTTCAAACCCATAGGAACTAGAAAGAACCGAAACCGTATATATATATATATATATATATATATATATATATATATATATATATATATATATTTATTTATTTATTTATTTTTTTCTTCTCTATATATAATTATTTATAGGGTTAATTTCACTCAGACCACCTAAGGTTAGGTCATATTTCACCTAGATGAGGATTTGGTTTTTAGTTTGCACTCATATTTGAATTAGTGACTTTACATTTCACTTACACCCCAAATGTCAATTTTTTGTGGGGTCATAATATTTTGAGTTGTTAAATGACTATGTTGCCCTTTGACCTCATATTGACTATTTTTGTGACTAAACTACCCTCAACACACGTTTCCTCTTCTTTTTCCTTTCAGACAACCATCCCAGTTTAACCCACACCAAGCTGTCACCGAGTTCTTTGACTTGTAAGGACTCCATCTTCGACGGCGACCGAAGAACGGCATCATCGTGGAGGGATTTTGAGAGAAAAGGGTTGGGAGGTGAATCGAAGAGATCGGGTGTTAGGTCTTGAAGTCATCGTTAGTTGGGAGGCAAATCGGAGAGGGTTGGGAGGTCGGCGGTTGAGAGGTTTCTGAGATCAGACGGCTGATGAATTGGGGCCGATGAGGAAGCACAGTGATGAATTGGGGCCAATGAACTGTCACTGCTCCATCACCGAGAAGCAGCACAGTGCCGAAAAGACCCATCCAGAATTTTCGCCGGAGAATTCATCGTTGCCACGACAAAGCAATTTCAGATCAGAATTTCAGAATCACATTGTCTTCACCACTGATGCTGCATCGCCGCGGAGTCCATCGCCGTCGTGACTCGGCGGCCGGCGAAGAGCAGAGAAACAGTATGGATCACAATTTGCAGAGAGTTGTGCGAGTTTCTATCACTAATTCTGACGCCACGGATTCCTCTTGAGATCGACGTCGGCTTAGTTGGTGGTTGAGAGGGTTGGGAGATCAGGTGTTGGTGTCGCCGCCGCTTACACCTCTTGAGATCAACGTCAGCTGAGTTGGTGTCGCTGCCTCATCATCGATCCGGCCAACCTTGTTGGCTACCCGGCTCTGTTTTGTATGTGTGTATATACACAGAAAATTACACACAAATATGTATATATCTATATACATATTTGTGTGTAATTTTCTGTGTATATCTATACATATATAAACTATTCCTTGTGTTGTTGATCTTGTGTGTATATCTATACATATATAAACTTATACAAGTTGTCTGCAAATAGATTGTTAGTAAATGATTTTTAAAATGATTGTTAGTAAATGATTTTTCTCAAAACAACTGTATTAACATTGTTGCACTTGTTAGAACAGTAGAGAAAATGGGAGAACAGAAAAATAGAGTAACTAAATAACAAGCACAGAACAAAGCTCAAGCGAAACAGTGATCAAAACAGCTTGGAATGGCAGTGAGGTAAAGAACTGTGTGCCTTATTGGGTATAATTGCAGAGGTTGAAGAGAGTGAAGGCTTGCATGAGTGGGATGAGGTAATGGTGTGTGTTTGTTCGTATGATGTCATTTGCTGGGTGTGAGATGTAGAGGGGTAGTTTTATCTTTTAGAATTATATATATTTTTGTATTAAATTATATTAAATAAATTAAGGGTAAAAGAGTCCATTCACATATGTCAGAGTTCAAAAAGTAATTTGGGGTGTATATAAAAGTTAAAAACTAAATTTTCATCTAAGTGAAATATGACCTAACCTTAGTGGGTCAGAGTGAAATTAACCCTTATTTATATGTGAAAACTGTACACTACCCCACTCCAGTAACTAAAAGTTTAAAACCCAGTTAAGTCAATAATAGTCGTAGTGTCATACAGCCGGTCAAGCCACGTGGTCACTCATACAGCCACACAGTGAAAAACTCATCTAAAGACTAACCCAAAGTTAACTAAAGTCTCATCTCTTTCTCATCTTTCAAGTTTCAACCAAACCCTCACCTCCCCAGTCCCCTCATCTCAACTCTCAAGCAGCCAAGCTTCCTCAACAGTCACCACCGCCCTCGCCGAATCTCAAGTTTCCTCGAATCCATTCCTCATCGCCCTCGGCACCTCGTCTCCTCTCATCTTCACCCTTCAGATCTTCTCATCATTCAGTCTCATTCAACCTCTCATCTTCAGATTGCGGCTTCAGCCTTACACACCATCTCACTATCTCAGACTTCTCAGTCAGCGACACAGGCACACGGCTTCTTCGATCTACACCCACACACTATCTCAGTTACGACAGTCAGCGACACGGCTTCATCAGCTTCCTCTGTCAAGCCTGTGAAGGTAATTTTTCTTTTTCTTTATCTTTTTCCTTTTCCTTTTTCCCGAGAGAGTGAATATTTGATTTGTTAGTTCTTTTGCTGCAGATTTGAGGCAAATTTGTTTTTTTTTTTTTTTTTAATCAGCCGCAAAATTGATTTCAATATTTTCATCCCAAATGCAATGGATGAGCACCCCTAGTTATTGTTTATGAAATGCATTCTTTTTGTTTGTTAGGGTTTCGATTCAATTAAATCATAGATCTGATTACTAGGTTGTCTGCTAAATTTAAATTCAACAGACAAGTTACTAGATCTAATGTTAAATTTGAAGGATTTGAGGAATCAAATTATTAGGTTTTGGTGAATCACTCTGAAATGTATGTTGCAAGTAGTCTAAAATAATTCCCTTTTTTTATTTTAATATTTTTGGGTCATATATATGTCAAATGTTGGGAATTTGATTTATTTTTGCTTATTTCTAGGGTTTTACCTCTAACTACTAGCAATCAAGGGAATGTCACCTCAGTCCTCAGGTAATTGATTTTGTTTCTACTGCCTGTTTTTAAATTATTTGTTGGAAAACTTTGAATTTAGATTGTTATTTTTCTATTCAATTAATCTTTAATAAAGAATTATGTTTCCTTAAAGTATTAATATCTGATTTCCATATGTTTGTAAGCTCCTAAATTTGTTTTGATGGTCTATTCTTATCCCATATTTTACAGGCTTACCTCTTGGAAAGAGAGAGAGATAAAAGGGATTGGGTGGACTAGGGAAAAAAAATAGGTACGGTCCCAAGGCATCCTTTTACTTTGGTCTTCATGTGAAAAGCTCAAGCTTTCAGTTCGGTTCTAGATCACTGTTGCACTATATATACACACACACATATGATCTAGTAGCCGTTCGAGAGTCAACACAGTCACACACTTTTTTGCCCTTTTTTTCCCCTTAAAATATTATCCCAGCCGTTGAATGATGGACCAGGTTGATCACATCTAATTTAGACCATTTGATATAATTTCAAGTTGACATATATTCTTTGAATGTATTGGTACAGCTGTTGGACAGTCATTGTACTGCTGTTGGTCATTTGAATTCTGATTTCCTCCTTAGGGCATAAATAAAGCTTGTTTCAGATTAAGATTTTATAAATATTTCCATAAAAAATGGGCTTTTATGCAAAAGTGTCTATTCCTAAAGGAAATGATTTTGAGTCTCAATTCCTAGAAATTCAACATTGCTAGGATTAAAAAGAAAAAAATCCTAGAAATCCTTTTATGAATTTTGAAATATAACTTTTGCGTAGGAATCTGAAATTGAGATACTATAATATACGAATTAAGGTGTTAAATTAGGTCTTCCAAAGCAAGTTTTTGCAGGGTTGAGAAAATTTAACGCCACATGCTAATAAGATTTGAACATGCCATGGATAAGTAGGTTTGAGTTTGGCTTAATTGTGTTCGTGTCGTAATCGCGTCAACCCGAATTGACACGGTAATTAAACGTGTTGTATTCGTGTTTAACTCACCAACCTATTTATAACCCGATTAACTCATTTTACTAAATGTGTGAGATTATTGTGTTGTGCTCGTGTAAAAAATGACTTATTTAGTTGAACATGTCGAATAAACATGTCTTCGTGTTAAAAATGACTTAAAACGTATATTGTCGTGGCATTTCATATCGTGTCATTTCTTAATCTATTGATTAAACGAGTTATGCGTGTTGTGTCTTGTTACTTTCATATTGTGTTCGTGTTAGGGTTTCAATAACAGTTGTGTCATTTTCGTGTTGACCCATTTAACAAGATAGCTATATTTTGACATGACACTAACATGAGTCGCCAATACGAATTGCCTCCTCTAAGTTTTTTAAACAAATTAAACAAAATCTAAAAAAATGATTTTTGAAAACACATTTATTATAGGAAAAAAATACTGAAAAGAGGATATGTTTTGGTAACTCCCCATGATTAGTTTGTGTCAAAGAAAATTACAAAGTCAGGACTTGACGATATTAGGAGGTGGTAGAAACAGTGAGGACGTGGGACTTGAATTCATGGCAAGATTTCCAGTTTTGACCTTCATGGACTTGTAATATTTGATTTTATTATCTGTGTTCAATTGGTGATGAAATATACATACCGATCAAGAATTGCAGTTTATTAAATTTTTAAAAAGGCACCCGTACTTATACTCTTAAAAATCGATAAGAAAATTTAATCCGTCCTCGTATCATTCACTAATTAAACACTAATATATATTGATAATTTTTATTAAAGTGGATGAACGTTTAGTTATGATAAAATATAATTAGTTGACTATGCTTATAACATGATATTACGTACAATTTTTTTTGACCTTTGAGCGTTATTGCTTCCCGCTTATGAGTTTGTCAAAGCATTATAAAAATAATACTTGGAAAAATGTAAGCTAAAAAACAAAAGAAGAGTCGGAGAGAAGGGCAACCCTCACACGCGAGGGAAGAAGAGGCCCTAGATCAGTGACGGAAGAAGAAAAAACAGAGCTAAGTGCAAATCTGCAGACTTCGTGCGCTGCTTGGTTACTGGATCTCGGGGTCCAGTGGAGGGATAGGTCATCGCCTATCTGAATCAGATGTTGCACATCCAGGATGATGTTTGAGATAGCTTCATCAATAAATTGAAGATTCATGATGGGTTGGCAATCTCCTTTAATGAGAACATTAGAGAGTCCCAAATCAATGCAATGCAAGCTTGGGCTGCAATTCGAAGAGAGAGGGCTTTGGCAACGATTGCGGATGGGACATTTTGGAACACAAGGCCAAAAGATCGAAGAAGGTGGCCTTCATGATTTTTGAGAATAAATCCACCACCTGCATGGATGAAGGTGGAGGAGGCCAGGAATCCAATGTGAAGACGGAGGATGGGAGGCTAGTACATGGAAATCCAGTAGGCTGTCATGAAGATGAAAGGTTGAGAAGTTAGAGAAATATTGAAGGGCTCTATCCAGGATGATGTGAGGATTAACCCTCAAGTTGTTGAATACCAGAGTATTTCGACTCTTCCACAGATGCCTGCAAATAAACAGAGCCAAACTTGCACATTCCAGGAAGCATTTGTTATCTTTCCAAGAAAGTGACAAATTAATCCATCTTTTATGCCATTCCATGGGAGGAGAGTTGGAAAAATCAAGACGAAGTGGACTGAGATTCCAAACTATTTGGGCAAAGTGGCAAAGACACAGGAGATGGTCGATTCATCTTCAAAACCGCAAACATTACAGAGGCTCATTTCAACCTTGTTCAACCTTGATGGTCTTGAATGCCTTTGATTTTAAAAGCTTGCTTGACTAGGATACGACTGTGAATGGTTTGCCAGAGGAAAAAATGAAGCTTTCTTGGAGTCTTGATTTTCCAAACATTCTTCCAAATGAGCTTTAGATCCGTTTCATAGCTGCAGCGAATGCCTTGATGACTCGGGTTGGGATTGATAATGGAAAGAGCAGCGTAGTATGCTGATTTGAAAGTGAATTGGCCATTAGGAGTGAGGCCCCAAATCTTATAATCAGATCTATTCAGAGAGCTTAGGGGAATCTGAAGAATACGAGCATTATCTTTTGGATTAAAAGAGTTGAGCGCCACAGAAGTCTTCCAAGATCGGCTTTGGTGGACAATGAGATCGGCAACAGTATGAACATTACCACCAGCAAAAGTTGAAGTGACCTTGAAGTTGGAATTCCCCGAGAGCCAAGGAGCATTCCAGCAGTCAATCTATTTACCATCTCTGATTCTCCATTTAAGACCTTTCAAGATGATCTCTTTAGTCGCATTGAGGCTTCTCCATACCCAAGAATGGCCCGAAGTACAAGAAGAACCAAGGAAACTGCAATTCCTGAAGTAATGCTGCTTGAAAATTCTAAAAAGCATGGAGTCATTTCCAACTTCGAATTTCCAAGCTACTTTCCAACTAATCCAAGGTCCAAACCTCTACCTTGATACCGTTTGTTATGCCCCGCTCCCCATAGCACGTGAGCTAAACACCATTCATAAAATATACCAAAATCAGTTTAAACCATTACATACTTTCCTACTCACATTCACCTCAAGACCACTCAAGAGTGAGTCAAAATTTAGACTTACCAATCATCTTGCTCGTTTTAACTTTACTCCATGGAAGCTTTCATTCCGGCTAAAATCCTGAAAATGTTTTGTAAAGAAAATAGGGTGAGCTACAGGAACCAATAGGTTCCCAGTATTTATTTATTTTTGATAAATAAAATGAATTAGAAAGCGTTCAAAAGGGGAACGCATCCCAAGAGATACAAGAAACCAAACAAAAACACTATTAAAAAACAGATAACCTAAGAAAACAAATTTCTTTAAAAAAATTCAGTAAAGTAGCAACTTTAGCACTTTTAGAATGTGAACTGCACACGTAGGGGTGCAACTTGGGTTGGGTGACCTAAACCCAACCCGAGCCCAGATCAATTTTTCACGGGCTTAGGCAATCATTTTTACAATTAGGGTTGGGATTGGGTTAAAAAATCTAAATCCGAATTTAATTAGGGTTGGGCTTGGGTTGAAGTGCTAGCAACTCGAGCCTACTCGGACCCGAATTCCAATATTATTTTCATATATATTTTTACTTTTAAATACATTATATATAATATTTAAACTATGATTACTTTTTTTCTTTTCAACTTGTTTTGTTAAATCTTAATTTATTGTTTGTTAACATTTAGGAGAATTAATTTTCTGAAAATTTGTTTGTAATTTATTAAAAATCTACAAAAAGTCTTTTAAACTTTTTCTTGTTTAAGAGTAATTTAATCTAACACTAATTTAAGATCATATTAAATTTTTGGTGTAAAGATTAGTCATATGAGTAACCTGAATTAACCGGAAATTTTTACTCGGAATCTAAGCCCGAGTTGCAAGCCTGAATTTAGAAGTCGAACGATCGGTTGGGCTTGGGTTGAGTAGTTAAGGTTGAATATATAGTTAGGGTTGGACTTGGGTTTTGCATTTCATGTGGTGGGTTGGGCTTCAGTTATACCTCAAATCGGCCCGACCCGTCCGATTGTAGTCTTAACTGCACGGTTGAGATTTATAATTAGGAAAAATAATAATATTTTAATTGACCTAATATGTAAACTTTTAATTCCAAATCACTGATTTCAACTCATACGAGTAAAATATGCGCAAGTAATCCATTCCGAATTTACAAATCCGAGAAGATCATCAATACCACGATTGGTCCAACAAGGTGTACTCTAGGCATCTTTAGGGACCTACCCCCGGGGACCGCCATCCCCCGTCCTTCGAATTTAGGGTCTCGCACCTTGGGACCGTGAACGCCCCCACATTAAACCCGGGTCGTTTAAGGTCTTTCAACATATGGGAAACTCTTATCCTACCTATTTCATGCCAGGCGCCAACACAATTGAAGGACCAAAACCAAATATCGAAGTGAGTAACAATATTCCATGCCACGAACAAACACTTCCCTTTCCGCCGTTACAATCATATAGAAAATTCACAATAAATCAGGTATTTGATATTCTTTGACAAAGTAAAATTATAGACAAATCATATATAAGTCCATTTTAATTTCCTAAAATCTCATTTTCAAATTCAAAGCATAGATATGATATAAAGATTATTCGATGAGATTGCTGTCCAAAAATTAACCCAGTAAAAACACATTATTTTCAGAAATTTATCAAAAATAGCATACTAATCCAAATTTCATGAAACCAATCCATTTTCACATGAAACCAGTTCAAAGTATACTAGTTTCAGCTCTAAAACTCAACCAGTTCATATTTTCACATGAACCCAATTCAAAGGGTAACTGGCGTCTAAAACCAATCATTTCAGTTTTCACAAGGAAAGCATCACCAGGAGAGACTACAAGGTTTTGAAATTTTTTAACAATATTTTATAAATGAAATTTAGGAGGTACCTTCTGAAGTCCCTCTTAAGTTCTTTTCCTTTTTCTTTCCTTCTTCTTTCCTTCTTCTTCTCTCTCTAGCCGTGAGAACCTCCCCTTGCCTCATCACCCATCTCTCTCTTTCCTAGACGAGCCAGCCTTTCAAATTTTTTTTTTCATTCTCTCTCTCTCTCTGCTTCTGGTCATCCCTCCTTGATCCTTTTCTCATCTTCTATTATATAAACATATATATGACCTTATATATATAGTGGCTGAATAGAGGAACTTTTCCCAGCAGCCTTCATCTGCTATAGAAGAATATATGTTCCAACACATCCATGCACCCAAGTCCTAACTTGCAAGGACGTGGTGACACCAAGCAAATTAGGTGTCAAGGAATCACATTAACACTTGGCTGACACATGCTAATAATCATTTTTTTGTTTTTCTTTTCACAAGCTTACCCAATAAACTTTGATAATCCATATATATATATATATATATATATATATATATATATCCTACTTAATAACATCATCAGGTTAAATGGTTTTAGGGACTTCTTTTGATAAGTTTTATCCTGCCGTCTCATGCCAAAACACCCCACATTGCATGGGTAGAAAATGTAACAGCCAAAACTCCCTCACATTGCACGGGTCGAAAGTGTGAGCACGTTTTTGTAGTGTTGGCACGCCTGTCACATTCGTGCAGTACTACATGAATGCACACACTTGTCTACTTAATTTCTACAATAAGGCTCTATGACTACTGTCATTAATTAATTGCTTATCGTTTGGCGTATGGCAGACCTTGCAGATCTCCAGTGTGTTGGACCGAGGTAGGTGATACGGTCGCCTTAGGTCCTGACATCGTTATAGAAATTATAAAAAAGATCAAGTTGATTCGGTAGCGGTTGGCTACCGCACAGAGCAGGCAAAAGAGTTACACTGACAGGAGGAGATCATTGTCTTTTGAGGTGGGGGGACCACGTCTTTCTTAAGATTTTTCCACGGAAAGGACTTCTGAGATTTCGGTAAACGGGCAAGTTGTCTCCTAGGTTCATTGGACCATTTGAGATTTTGGAGCGCGTCGGTGAAGTTGCTTATCGTTTGGCGTTGCCACCAGACCTGGATAGGGTTCACGACGTCTTTCATGTTTCTATGCTGAGGAAGTACGAGTCGGACCCAGCGCATGTTCTATGGTGGACTGATGTGGTTGTTGATGAGGACGTGACCTACGAGGAAGGTCCGGTCCAGATTCTTAATTCACGGGAGCAGGTCTTGCGGACCAAGACCATTCTATTGGTCAAGGTCTTGTAGAGACATCACGGCGTCGAGGAGGCTACCTGGGAGCTTGAGCAGGAGGTTCGCTCCCGGTATCCCCATTTGTTCTTTCCTTCAGGTACAACTGGATTTCAGGAACGAAATCCCTTTAAGGTGAGGAGTTTGTAATGACCCGGTCATTTTCCTCCCCTCTCCTCTTTCAGCATTTTTCATTTTTTTGGTCTTTTCCCGGTTTCCATTTTCGTTGCATAACCTCTCTTTTTGTGCTCGGATTTGATTCGACTTTGCATGCATCTACAATATTTAATTTCCATGATATGTATACTTTTACTTTTGTAAAAAAACATGCTTGATGTTTACTTTTCTTGTAAGGGGTATGGATGCATAGTTTCTTAGGAAACATTCTTGACTTTTGGGGTTTTAGTGTAATTAAGTAAAGTAATTATTTTTTGTCTTGAGGATCATTTTGCAATTTTATTTGGAAGATATTTTAGAAAATGACCTTTTTGCAATTTATGGAAAATGTGACAAGTGTCACACTTCCATGGAACCACTTGTTGACATTGTGGTGGAACCACTTGGAAACTTAGTATGATGGCACATGGAGGGTGGAGATTCACCCACTTGTTGGCCTAGGATAGGTGCACTTGTTGGCTTGGATAGTTGACAAGTGTAGGTTTAGGATTAAGCCTAGGAAGGAGCCATAAATTAGTGACAAGTGTAGGCTCCAAACTTGGTCTTACACTTAGTGTGTGTGAAAACCATGGTGTAAGAACACATAGTAAGTGGAGGAATACTAAATCGTCCATTCACCTCATTTCATTTGAAAATTGTATGAATCATAAGGTGATTTAATGTTTAATATTTAATGAAATAATTTTGTATTTTAAAAAATCTAAAAATGTTAAGAAATTAGGTACACTTTTAGAATAGTATATAATATAATATAATAGAAAATTAAAGGATTTTTCATTTGGAACGGTTATATCATAAAATTTAAAGAGACATAATCATTACACGTAATGACAAGAAACTAAAGTGTTGTAACATTTATATAGACATTATGAATCATTATATAGTTAATATATATGTTAACAATTTTTCTAAATTTAAAATAAGCAAAAATGTTTGAAAAGGAGTAGATTTGTATTTTAGAAACAAAAAATGTGTGTTTTATTTTCCTTTTACATTTGTTTTTCTTTTTTTTAGTTGCGAGGTAAATAAGGTGATTTAATGACACGTCATTGCAATTTTTATAAAGAAAAATTGAAAATTATATGAATCAAAAGGTGATTTAATGAATAGTAATAATAATAAAAAAATAAAGGAATTTTCATTTGGAACGGTTATATCATAAAATTTAAAGAGACATAATCATTACACGTAATGACAAGAAACTAAAGTGTTGTAACATTTATATAGACATTATGAATCATTATATAGTTAATATATATGTTAACAATTTTTCTAAATTTGAAATAAGCAAAAATGTTTGAAGAGGAGTGGATTTGTACTTTAGAAACAAAAAAAGTGTGTTTTATTTTCTTTTTACATTTCTTTATCTTTTTTTTTTAGTTGTGAGAGGTAAATAAGGTGATTTAATGACATGTCATTGGAATTTTTAGAAAGAAAAATTGAAATTGTATGAATCATAAGGTGATTTAATGTTTAGTATTTAATGAAATAATTTGTATTTTTAAAAAATCTAAAAATGTTAAGAAATTAGATAAAAATAAATTGGTAGATAATTTTGGTGTGTTTTGTAGACTCCCAATCAAATGTAATAATAGAAAATTAAAGGATTTTTCATTTGGAATGGTTATATTGTAAAATTTAAAGAGACATAATCATTACAAGTATTGACAAGAAACTAAAGTATTGTAACATTTATATAAACATTATGAATCATTATATAGTTAATATATATCTTAACAATTTTTCTAAATTTCAAATAAGCCAAAATGTTTGAAGAGGTGTGTTTTAGTAACAACAAGCGCAATATATATATAAATTAAAAGAAATTAGTCAAAAATCAAATACCAGTAATAACAGTCCGCGTATATAAATATATAGACTGTTGTTGCTGGTATTTGATTTTTGACAAATTTCTTTTAATTTATATATATATTTATTTTAATTTATATATATATATATATATATATATATATACACGCCGACTGTTGTTACAGGTATTTGATTTTTGACGAATTTCTTTTAATTATTGTTCTCTTCATTTTGTAATTTGTTACTCGTATATATTGTGCAAATAATATATATATATATATATATATATATATATATATATATATACTTTCTTCATTTTGTAATTTGTTACTCGTATATATTGTGCAAACTTCATTTTGACAATATATACGAGTAACAAATTACAAAATGAAGAAAGTATACTTGAATATATATGTTGTATTCTATTTCAATATTGCTTAGCGCACTTGATATATATACTTGTATATTGATGATTTACTTTCTAGATAACTTAGTATACTTGTGTCTTTTTTAAAAAGTGTATCATATTCTATATATAGGTAGGTCAAGTGACACACAGTCGTCCTCAAGGGAACGATTGTCTCACTTCCATCAGATGCATTAAAGTGCAACTCATGTGGGTCTCACTTTAATGTATGGATGGTGTTGAGATAGTTCAATCAAGGTGTAATTTGTTACTCGTATATATTGTGCAATATATATATATATATATATATATATATATATATGCTCGGACTGTTTGTTACTCGTATATGATTTTTGACGAATTTCTTCTAATTTTTGTTTTTCATTATTAGCCTTTGCTTCAATTTTGGTACAAGAATAGGGTTCCTACTGGAACCCACCCGCAAACGAATGCAAGGTGTCATTGTGGGTCTCACTTTAATGTATCGATGGTGTTGAGATAGTTCAATCAAGGTGTAATTTGTTACTCGTATATATTGTGCAAATAATATATATATATATATATATATATATATATATATATATGCTCGGACTGTTTGTTACTCGTATATGATTTTTGACGAATTTCTTCTAATTTTTGTTTTTCATTATTAGCCTTTGCTTCAATTTTGGTACAAGAATAGGGTTCCTACTGGAACCCACCCGCAAACGAATGCAAGGTGTCATAGAGGAATTGACATATGAAGCAGACTCTCAGGACATCTCAATCGAGGCATACGGGGATGATCTTCTAGCCTGTAGAGAAGGGCTAGATTGAGGCGCTACGATCATCCAAATATAATCAAACGTTTAGGTCTGAAACGAGATCTACCTATCACAAGGTTGTTCACGGAGAGAATTCACTCTCATTTGAGGATTGGCTACACAATCAAGCGGTTGAAGACCTTTGGATGACGGATGCTAGACCTGGCAAATGGCAAATTGTAGCTCCCTCAGAAAATCTTCTGCGTGTATTCCAGTAGGTGATTCTAACCCTTTTTAGGTTTCACAATCATCAGCTCTTTTTAGGTTTCACAATCACTACAATACATCAGCTAATGTAGGTTATATTCATTGGTTTGAATTTACAGGGGAATAATTGAAGGTTTAGAACAATTTATTGAGAAAGAGGGATACTATGGAGGCACTCTATTGAAGAGCATATCAATTTCAGAAGAAGGGGAAGTTAAGCTGACCACACCTTTGACTTTTCCAGAAGAGGGTAATTTAAATTCTCCCCAAAGTTATTATATATATGTGTGTGCTTTCTAGTGTCACTATTCTATTCAAGTCATTTGTAGAGTCAATTATGTGAGACCTAAAGCTGCCGTATGAACTACATTTGGTAATTTATGTCCTCCTTTTGGGAGATGTCACTTGTTTAGTTTTGATCTGAAGTGAAATCATAGTAGTTTGTTTGAGTAGAACCATAACAGATTACCATAAAAAAAATAAAAATAAAATTTCTGTGCACCCCACTTTGTGTATGCTTTCGCTGACTCTATAGTTACCAATACTTGACACATGATCGTCGAATAATGTCTGAATAGAGTCCCCAAATCAACAAGGACAAATCCCTTAAATATTTCGGATCTTAACTGTTTATATATATCTTTGAGTCAATCCCCCATCCAGCATAACATCCCTCTTTCAATTCTACCCACTCATGATATTACATTGAGTTTGCTTATTCTGAATTTTGTTGAATTGGAATTTGGATTGCTTGATGAGGAAGATATATAAGACAATTATCCTAGCATGAGAGGATTTCTCGTTATATATTGGCTTAGATTTATTTGCTTTGCTTTATATTAGCCATTTTCTAATTCATCGTGTAATAAATTGATCTGTAATATTAATGTATTTTTTTAATATTACAGATCAGTTTCTTGCATTAAGGAATGATTTAATCCAATTTATAGATTTGGTTGTGTTGGCTGCAAGCAGATTCCCTGGTATGGGATATCCTCGGCCCAGTGTCATATTTTTATTCGATGAATTGGTATCTCGTTACATCAACCGATGCCAGACAGTGGATGAGTTGAAGTAAGATTATTCATTCATTTCTTGTTTGGTTCATTTTTTTCAATAATATTTATAATAACATTTTATTTATGTGATTAGGGAACTGTGGTTCTTTATGAGGACAAATCCATTGTTTTATAATAGCGAGAAGAGATACTATTTTGTGCGAAAAACATTCACGATGCTAAAGATGCAGTATGGTATCATTAGGAGAATTTCCTTGATCGGGAGGTGGACAGATATGATCGACTCGCACATTGCAGTGCGAGGAGAACAACAGCTATATAAAATCCTAGTACATGGTACTGAAGATGGCAGTACAGATCCCATGTATTTGGGACCTTGGGCCGCTCTCATTTTCCAAAGGAATGCGTATGAACATTTGGTAAATACCCAATTTCTCTTTATGACTACTATGATGCCATATTCTTAGTTTTTATTTATTTAATATTATTTGTTTTTTTTTTTTTGGGCAGCTTGGGATTGGTTGGAATTTTCTCCAAATTGAAGAATTGCTTTTTCGGAATATGCCAGAGTTTGTTCTGAAATATTTCTTTGAAATGGGGGCGAATTTTTATGATGTAAATCTTAATTATGTCAGGTAACGTTCACTTTTCTTTCTTTCTTTTTGTGTTTTTTGTGTTTTTTGTTTTTGTTATTTTTGTTTTCTTTTGGTTTATAATGTATCTTAATCTTATTGTAGTGTTAGGTGCCTACGAGCCTTGAATTATCCTCCATACCCACTAGGTCACTAGTATATTGGAAGCCTTTTTGTAGTTTTTCAGCATTTTGGAAAAGTGGTATGTCTTTTATGCACGTAGTAGTCATTTCCTCTTCAGTCGTTTCTTCTTTGTTTGTCTTTCCTTCTGAATCTGATTGGAATTGTAATGTCTCGATACGCTGGTGAATTGCTCATTGATGAATACTCAATCACATATGATGGTGTCTATTGGAACCCTCGATTTAGTAATTGGAATTTTCTCACATAAGGATTTTCTCTTTATATGATTAGAGTCTTAGATCGACTAAAACGCCCTATTTATAGCCAATATAGGTAGCCCATACTTTTTGGTAGGTTGAATCGTTGTTGAAATCTTTTTTGAGAGCTCGATTGATCGAGGCAGTGTTAGATACCTACTGCGAAGTTGCTCCATCAGTCGACCAGTTAATTGAAGCACATTGGGAATTCATTTTATAAAAAATCCCAGTTTTTGATAAACATGATTAAAATGGTATTTTGAGCCTTGTAAAGATCATACATAGTTGGTCTTTATGGTCTCAACTTACATCAACCTAGATATGTGACCGAGTCTTGAGATATTTGCGGCATGGTCTTCATTGAGCTGTATTTTCATCATCTTTTGTGGTTGTAAACACGTGACTCACGACTTTGACCTCCTTCTCCCCTCCGTTTGTTGTGGTCATTGTACAGTGAGAAATCTCACCCCCTGCCTTTAGACGAGAGAGCTTCTTGTACCTCCGCTAGACAAATCAATAGGAAATGCTACAACCCATTGTTCTTTTTACGATGAACCACTCTGGTACAGTCTGTACTGTACTTCAAAGTCCTAATTGTGGCATGTGAAAACATCCCTTCCCTTGGTTTGAAGCCTTTTTATTTTTATTTTTTCTTTCTTAAGGTCTGTACAGCAAATAGGAAATTGCCAGCATATGACTCTTATTCCTAACAGAAACATATTAACATACTTAAGTCATTGATCTCAACTTCTTTTGTAGGAATGCATATGGCTTCTGAAGTTTTTTAGGGGCTGTATGTTGTCTCAATCATTTATGCTTAGGCATTAGTTTGCTGCCTTCATGGCTCCTTCACTTCACAAGCAGGGTGCTGATCACTAACCCACCTTCTTAATTAGAAAGCCCTTTTTATTTTGATGCTTTCTTTGTGTGGTACACTGTTTGTAGAGACTCATTGATGCTTTTAGTACTTCATGAATGTGTCCGTGATAAAAATAAATAAATAAATTTCATAATTTAGGATTTCCCATACAATGTTTCCAAACGCAAGCTTTATGTAACAAACACGTCTTAAAAAGGCTCATGTCCGACAGTCATCAAAACAAGACGAACACACTCCAAAAGGTGTTCAAGCTTTGTTTTCTTCTTTTCTTCAAGAAAAATTTAAATCATACACATGGTCATCATTTTGAAAAATATAACACGGAAGCTTTTGTGGATATAAATTGAAATCTTTAATACTTTGAATAGTTATATCCTCCGTATATGCAATCTTAGTACAAAAATTAGAAAATTATTGAAAGTTTATATTTTCATATATATATATATATATATATATATATATATATATATATTATATTTCCATTTCCATGTCTGTATTCTGCCCCTTTTTGGGTTTGATGTATGCAAGCATATGGAATATGACAGACTTGGCACGTAAAACTCCATCAAAATGCATAAGGAGGAATGCTGGTGGAATTTGCTATAAGAATACAAAAATAGAAACATTCAATAGAATTGGTCACGGTAGAAGATTGATAGAGATATATTGATATAAGGTAGCATTGTACTTGTCACAGCAAAATATGACTAGATCAATATCTACTACGTAGGCTAAATAAATTAAAGAAACAAATACTACATTTTTGCACCCAAAGATTGTTGAATACAAGAAAGGAACAAAAAATTTGTCCATGGATAATTCTAATTTTCTAACTCTTAGGGCATTTTTTGCTAAAACAGTATGAAAATGAAGACTGAATTAATTTAAAAAAAAAAAAAAATGAAAACCAAAAAGAGACATAAGAATAGTACCAACTTGTGACTTCCCATCACTTGTCGCAAATTGTCATTATTTTGACCGTCTATGCCGAAATAACTTTAATCTCAACTCAATAGAGCTATTTTCCAACTATTTTGGACCGGTTTATATGAATTTATTTCTTGTCAGTTTGCTTACAATTAAAAAGTTTAAAGAGATGCAGGATTACTTGGTTAAGGGCCTAAGGGGTAATTTAAATTCTATTATCTACTGTAGAATTTTCTTACAACACTATATACTACATAAGTTTTTCCTTAGTTATGGTATTATGCAAGGAAACTTTATTTTCTTATGACACATCTACACTTCATGATTCCCATTTCTACCAGGGCAGCCTTCTGCTTCAAATTACTGAAGTAGACTGCTTCCTTGATCCTTGGGAAGGCCATGGTTATTCATTTACACAAAACTACAGAAGTTTGGTGCATATATTAGAGTTAGCAGTGGGATTTTGCATGTGTTAGATTATAAATATGTTTCACTTGCATTTTTTGCAGATCGATTTTCATCCAGAGGCGGGTTGGAGAAGCTGCTGTGCACATTTCTGCAGCAAGAGTTTTAGAATTAGCGGGTAGATAGTGTACTTATTAATTGTAACGAGGAGTCTATACCCTGGCAACTGAATCATATGTGAATTGCGGAAACTCTTTGATGATTGTTGTCATTATGTCATATCTAAAACTCTTTGATGCTTTGCACAATGTTGTCATTTACCTTCGCTAAAAGAATATTGTAGTGTGTATATATATAGTTAAAAGATTATTGTAGTGTGTATATATATAGTTAAAAGTATGCGAAAATTTGGATAGCCTATGAATCATTTGACTTTTGAATTTTAATCAGTTCATTATATTCCTTGATGTATTTCCATCTTGACTTCTGGGTGCAATTTAAGTTGTCACACCCCGCCTCATTGCAGGGAGGTTATGCCTTGTAGGCAACGTGTGTACGCTGAGGAGGCCCCTCCAGAATTTTGCAGAGTTGTGGAATACCCCAGAGAGTGGGAAGGTTCTAGAATATAGGATAAAATTACATTGTCCTAATTAGGTAAAAATACACAAATCTCCTCAATAGTTTACTCGAGGAAAAAGGTTTGTTCATTGATGTGAAATTTTTTAAAAACAAAACAAAGAAAAAAAAAAAAGAAAGAAAAAGAAATTACTTAAAAAATTCAAAAGGGTAATGTGTCATTGAATAGTTGCAACGGAAGAGAGAGCGAAAGGGAGACTTTATTAAAAAAGGTAATGTGCAAAAAACCCTCTTGAACTTTACTCTCTCCCAAAAAATCCCCCTGAACTATTTTTTTAACAGAAAACCCCTTAAACTATCACACTTTTTGCAAAAAAAGCCAGGTAACACTGTTCCAGTAAATTTTGGCCGTAAAATAGTCACATGCATATGCTATAAATTGAAAATACCAATCCTACCCTCTTTCTCTCTCTAAGTCTAAATTCTTCCCCCAAATTACAGACATTGGACCCTGCAATTTATTGTTCTGCAACGAGACATTCACCAATTTGGGAAGAGAACTCAGCGTCGGAGGCACGACACCGGTGAACTAATTGTTCTGGAGCTGCAAAACGAAGCGATTCGCACACTGAGACAGGTCCGGGATAGGACCCGTGAACCGTCGCCGAGCTCTCCATCTCCAAGCTCACCGTGCCTACCAAAAGCTCATCACAGAGCCGCCGAACCAGAGCTCATCACATAGTCGCCGGATCTGTTCTCACAACCGTCTTCTTGTCTCCCCCAGATCCGTTTCGAGCTCAATCCACCACCGCCGGATCTGTTTTCATCAACCTCGCAATCATAGCCTCCTTCTCTCTGATCGACCACTACTTCATCGACAGCTTAACTGAATCCATCACCGTCGACTCTCCGTAGCTTGAACGATCTCACACAGGGATTCGAACCCACTTCCTAATTTTATCCCGGTCCATTGTATGCCAGTTCCGGCCCAAGTTCTTAGCTGTAATAAAACAAGAGAATCGACATAGAGAGAGAAGATCTAAGCATTAACGGTGCAATCGCATCGGCCAAAGTAAAGTCTCCGGCCAAAAATTGGTGCAATAGCAGCGGCCAAACCACTAAAGTCTCCGGCAAAAGAGGAGCGGTGCTACACCGAAGTTGTTGATGCAGAGGTCTCGGTAGGAGGAAAATTCTCCAAGTTGATGGTGGTGGTGAGCTGGCCGCCGGGCGATTCCGGTGACTTGGAGACCTGTACCACGGCGACACAAGGTCGCCGAGTAGTAGATTTGGACATGGGTTGCCATAAAGTCGACCTTTCCAAGCTGTGATGCACCTACGTAGCCGCAACCTTGCGGTCGCTTTTTCGCGACGTCGATGACCACTGCCGGAGCAGTGCCTCCATTGCCGGCCATGAAAAGGAAAGAGATGGGAAGAGAAGGTTAGACAGAAGAGAGAGATAGAGAGGGAGGAGGGGGGAGGTTCGTACAGTAGCTATGTTAGTGTTGTAATAGATGAGTCAGGGTTTCAAAGCTTAACTTTCACTGGTTGGTTCGGCGCTGACTCTGTTTGGCGTTGAAGTTTTGGTAAAGTGATAATGAGTTGTCCAAATATTATTGGCTGTTCACAATTTGTTTGACACATCAGCAATAGAAGCCCATCAAACACTAAAACGACATCCTTTTATAAAAGGGTAATTTTGTAATCAAACATCTCCGGTGACCTTTTATGCCAAAGACTATTCATTTTGTCCTTAAATTGTACATTTTTAATAGATCAGGGGGCATTTTTTAGTTTAGGGGGGTTTTGTGTTTTTTGCTAAAAGTTCAGGGGGGTTAAATGTACTTTACCCTAAAAAAAATATCGGAAGAGAGGGACGGAGATTCGGTCATTTGGCTGTCTGAGTTGGCTTGAGTTTCTTGTTTTGCTTGTATTTATATATATATTTTTCCTTTTTTACTCTGTATTAGACTCAGTGTTAAAATTAGTCTCAACAGTAAATCAACACGTGCATTATGTGCTTGTCCCCACGTTAGATCGAATGACTCGGGCATGACAGCGGCACTGATCAACAACTAGAAATTTTAAATCATAAGGCGAAAGTTTTCCACTCATTACAAATGACTTCGGCTTGTTAAAAGTAGTATCAGAGTTGATCCAGGTCTTCATCAAGTTTGAAGTCACCTAAAATGGAATAGGAGCAAGAGCTCATGCCGTGCGTGAGAGGTGAAATTCATGATGTCCTCCTATGTTAAGACAAACGAGGAGGTAGGGTGAATCCAATAGCTTATCATGATGCCCTCCCAGTGTTAAGATAGACGAGTAGGCAGGTGTAGGGATGGCAAAAATCCCCAACCTGGTGGGGAACCGTCCCGCCCACGCCCCATTTAAAGTGGGTTTGGAGAACCGTTTACTTAAATGGGGTGGGGATGGGGGTTAAAAAAAAAAAACCCGGTTGGTTGCGGGGCGGTTGCGGGGGACTCAGATCCCCACCTCACATCCGCCCCAAACCCGGCCCCGATTAATATGTTAAATTACTAGTTTACCCTGCCATGTTAATATATTTATCAAATTAACCTTCACTATATATATATATATATATATATATATATATATATTTATATATATATTGAAACCCTAGATTTCACCTTTAGACAGATTCACTTTCAATCGCTATATTGAGAGAGAGGGGGGGAAGCGTACGATGTCATCGAGTTAGAGGCAGACGGCGTCGGAGGGTCTGCCGAAACGGAGGACAAGGACTTTGTCGATGGTGTATCTGATGATCGAATCCACTTCTTGCTTCTTCGTCAGCGTCGTCAATAGATAGCTCATCTTCTCTCTATATATCTCTCTCTCTCTTCCCCTTCCCCGGTGGTGGTGGTGGTGGAATCATAGAACGTTTCCGTTTTCTTCTCCTCTTCGGCGACCAATTTGTGAATTTTATCATCCTTTTTAATTTTCAAATTTTACTTCTTTTTTTTTTTAAGAAAAATAAAATGAAATTATTTCAAGGGCAAAAATAAATTAAATAATGGTTCTATCAAATATTTTCCTTATTATTTTTGGTACCCAATAATATAGTTCGTTCACGTTTTGGATCTGCATTCCAAATATTGTCTCGTGTTTCGTTTCTAATTGATTAGTTCGCATTTGAGCTCTTCAAACAGGTATGTGTATATATATATAGATATATATATCGCTCTCTCTCAATCTTGTCTCTGTAAGATTTGTATATTTGCAAGCAATGTTATTTTGAAATGATGATGTTAGATGTTGCATGAATGTTCAGATTTATAAGGTTCTGTTACAGAACTTGGGTAGAATTATGTGTAATTCAGATTTCAAATTTATGTGGTTCTGCTGCAGAACTTGTGTAGAATCAAAAAATTAAAAAAATTGGAATTTTCAAATTTAACCGGTTATGGGGCAGGGGCGGGGCGGGGATGGTTATGGGGATTAGACGCAAAAATTTAAACGGTTATGGGGCGATTTTGGGGGTACCAAAATTAAACAGGGGCGGGGATGGGGAATGGAAAACCCGCCCCAAACCGCCCCATTGCCATCCCTAGGCAGGTGGTCCAATAGCAATAGACATATTGAGTTTGAAAGTTTGGACACAAAAGAATGTTTGAAATTTTACGGGCCTTTACCAATGGTAAATTGGACTCACCACAAATATGGGTCACGGGTTAACTTTGATTGTCTAACTGGTTCAAGCCCATTTTCACGGGTCCCAAACTATTTAACTAGCCCAGGCCACAGAGTGAGTTAAATAAAAAAGATCTCAGGTTTGCCTAAATATCATATTGAATCATCTTTCAGTTACAATCGTTTTTCCATCTTTCACTCGCACCCCAATAGTTTTCTGCACATGACATCTAGGCTGTGACACCATGTAAAATGATATAAGTATCATTTGACCATAAAAAATTAGATTAAAAGATGAAAATATTTTATAAATTTACAATTATATATATATATATATATATGCGCGCGCGCGTTTGCA